CGCCCAGCGGCGGTGCCCGCAAGGGAGGGAAGGGCGACCGGTCAGCGGGACAAGCCGAGGCGGAGAGCAGGGTGAGGAGGGCGGCTTTGGGGGCGGACAGGTCCTCGAGAGGAGTGGCCAGCCGCCAGCCGCCCGCAGCCGGCCACAGCGGGCCTGGCCACCTGCGCCCCCCGCCCCCCAGCGCCTTCCGGCGCGATCCGAAGTGCCCTCTGGCGGCCGCAGGCGGCGGTGCAGCGGCCCGCGGGGGGCCTGGAGCCCCTCCCCCACACTGCTGCAAAGGGCAGGGGCCGTCAGGGGGGAGCCCGGGCTGGTGTCCACCGTCAGAGACTTGGGGAGCAGGTCCTTTCCCTGGGAGGGAGTTCGCTGCCCGCGGGCAGGCCCTCCGCGTCCACTGGACACTGAGCATCTCAGCTCCTGGGAACCATGCACAGGGTCAGGCCATTAGGGCCTGTGGGACGGACCGCTGGTGCCCCAGGTGGGCGCAGACGGGCCCCCGCTGGCCCTGACTGAGGTGCTGAAGGGGCTGCGGTGCAGGGGCCCGCAAAGGTGGTCGCAGGGATGATGCGGAGAACGGTGACAAGGACTGAACAATGCGGTAGAGACACTGCAGTCCCCTGGTGAAGCCGCGGGAACCTCAGCCGCAGAGGGACCTGGGGCAGGGCCTGGATCTGGGCTGGGGGCTCGGCGGCCGGGAAGAGAGGCAGGAGTGGGGTGCCGCCCTGGGAGATCCCGGTGGGCCCCCACCACGACTCTGGTGGCCAAGCAGGCGGCCACAGAAGGGGGTCAGGGAGAGTGTCCATGCTGCCCTAGGAGAGGGCAGCACTGGACAGCGGGCTCGGCCATGGCGTCCGGAAGCAAAGGGACAGTGTGGGCGTTAAGGAGGGACATGAGGCCACTAAGGGGGCAGCTTCCAGGGGCAAAACAAGGGTGGGCTGCCGTGGCCTGAACCAGAGGCAGCCAGCAGGGAGAGTGACCAGCACCTCCATGGCCAGGGCAGCCAGCAAGGAGAGTGACCGGCCCCTCCATGGCCAGGGCAGCCAGCAAGGAGAGTGACCGGCCCCTTCATTTGAACAGGTGTGCAGGAGGAAGTGCCCCAGGAACTGGAAGGGCAGGTTGGCCCTTCCCACACCCACAACCTAACCCCATGACCTTTGATGCCCTGTGACCCCTTGCCTCCCGAGACCCCCTCTGTCTCTCCTGGGCCCTCCCACGACCACGGCCCATCCCAACCACCACCCAGGTGCCGCCCACCAACAATGGCCCCAGTGCGGCAGTCGACCCCCACCCCTCCAGATACCTCTGCACTCACCCACTCTCTGTCCACCCATCCATCTCCCAGTGATCCACCCTGCATCCTTCCATCCCCAGCCCTCCATCCTTCTCCATCCTTCCCGCCATCCCTCCATCTCCTCATCCACCCACCATTCCTCTTCCCATAATCTCCCAACAGGCTCCGTCCACTCACCCTCAGTCCATCACCGCCCACCCAGTCGACCCCCATCCTCCCTCACCCACTTGGCTGCCCCCTTCACCCATCTCCCATTCGCCAGCCCACCTCCCAAGCCCTCTCTGGACTTGGGCACCCCCCACCATCCATCCCCCGTCACCCTAACTGCCTGCCACCATCATCCACCATGATCGTGCTCCCTCCCGCCCTCCATCCATCCATCCATCCATCATCCACGTGTCCATCTGCCATCATCCATTCACTCATCCCTCCGCCCACTCATTCACCCACCCACCCAGAGACCCATCCGTCCACCCACCCACCCTCCCGCCCGTTCTTCGTGCCAGCCGGTTCCCCCCATCCCTGCCACCCACCCGGCCAGCCAGCAGCCGGCAGCCACAGCTTGGCTCCCGGTCGGTCGGCAGCCCAGGGCAGGGACCCAACTCCGGGCTCCCTGCTGCCCGGGCAGCGCGGGCGCTGGTCTTCCCTGGGTGCGCGCGCGGGAGCGTGGCGGGGCCCCCCACCCCGATCTGCGCCCCGCCCCCGCCCCCGCCCCCCGCTCGCGCCCCCCCTAATGTGCGCCCTGGAAGCTCTATAAAGCCTGATGTAATCCGTAATGCAGTCTCTGGCTCCGACTCGGGCTCCTGTTTGGGAGAGCGAGCGAGAGATTGGGGAGCGCCGGCAGCCGGCTGGGGGGAGCGGCTCTGCCTCCTCCTCCTCCTCGTCCTCCTCCTCCTCCTCGTCGTCCTCCTCCTCCTCGTCCTCCTCCTCCTCGTCCTCCTCCTCCTCCCCGCGCCGCCCCGCCCCCGGCCGGCTCCGCGCCCCCCGCCCCCCAGGAAGGGGGAAAAGGCGAGCATCGCGGGGCCGCGAGCTGAGCGGAGCGCGGCGGGCGCAGGCGGCGGCGGGCGCGGCGTTGGCGGCGGCCCAGGCCGAGCGATCGCGGAGCCGGCGAGCCGCGTCCTGGCCGGGCCGGGCCCGCGCGCCCCGCAGCGCCCGCAGCGCGGGCATCGGGACCCGCCGGGCGCTCCCGGGCGCGGGCGGCGGGGCCGGCAGGCGGGGGCGTCCCGGCTAGGCCCGGAGCGGGCCGGCGGCGGCGGCGGCGGCGGCGGCGGCGCGGGGCGCTCCGGGGGACCCGCGAGTCGCCGGATCAAGTCCAGCGCGGCCGGGCCGCGGCGGCCACGGAAGGTAGGGGCGGCGGCGGGGGGCGCGTGGGGGGCGCGCGGCGGCGGGGCACTTGCGAAGTTGGCGGCGCCGCGGCTCGCGCCCGCAGCCCGGCACCGGAGACCCCCGGCCCGGGCCCCGCGCGCCCCCTCCCCGGGGATTCCCGGACCCAGGGCGGGGCGGGGGGTTTCCGGCGTGCGCCCCGGGTACCGCGGCCGCCGAGGGTCGCCGGGGCCCGGGGGCGACCCCCACGCGCACACACACACGCACACGCAGCCGTCCGGAGACCCCCGCCCGAGCCGCGCTCAGAGCCCCCGCCCACACGCCGGAGCGGGGACCCGCGCGCCCCGGGGTGCGGAGCCCCCGGCTCCCCGCGGGTTTCGCCGCCCGCGGGACGGGCCCCGCGGAGCGGACTTCGGGAGCGGCCGCGCTCCGGGCGCCGCTGCCCGCCGCTCCCGCGGGGCCTGCCCGGCCGCGGGGCCCAGGATCCCCGCGAGGGAGGCGCGGGAGGGCCCGGCCCGGCCGCGGGGCCGCGGGTCGGAGCATGCGCCCGGCCGGGCCCGCGACCCCCTCGGCCGGACGACCCTCCCTCCCCGCTAGCGCGGGGCGCTGCCAAGTTTCTTGGCGCTCGGCAGCCGGACGGGAGCCCCTCCCGCGGCCCCTGCGCCCCGCGCCCCGCGCCGCCTCCCGGGGACTCCCCGGCCGCCGCGCCCCGGGAACTGGCGGCTCGCGGGGGTGGAGGGTGGGCAGGGGGCGCGCGGGCGCGGGGACCGCGGCGGGGAGACCCCCCTGACTCCCACACACGCCCCCCTCGGGGAGCACCCTGGGACGGGCGCGCTGGCCGCGGGGGTGGACGGGGACCCGAAGCCGGGTCCTTTTCGGGAGCGGGCGCGGGGGGCGGCGTCTGAGTCTGGGGAGGGGGTGGCCCTGAGCGTCTCCGGGCCCCCGGCGACCCCCGCCGCGGTCGCAGGAGAGGGCGGCCGAGGCGGCCGCGGCCAAACTCCGCGGCCGGGAGCGGGTGCCGCGGGGTCCGGCTTTGAGCACACCAGCAAGGTCACGCCGGCGAGGAGGGGGCGGGGGCTCCCGCGCGCGGAGTGGGGGGGGGGGCGGCCCGCGCGGGGCCGGGCGGTCCTGGGGGGGGGCATCCCGGAGCGCCGCGCGCCCCGCGCCCCGCGCCCGCCGCGCGCTGACTTGTTGCGCCGCGTCGGTGGGGCGGGGGCGCCGCGGCGCGCGGGCGCTCCGGGCCGGGACGTGGCGGGCGCCGCGCGGGGGTGGACACGCCGCGCGCGCGGGAGCGTCCCCGGCCGCGGCCGCGGCGGGGCCGGGCGCGCGGGTCCCGCTCCCGCAGCCTCCCGGGCGGGCCCCTGCGCCCCGGGCCGCGCCGCGTCGGGTCGGCGGCGTCCGGGGCCGGCCCAGGCGCGCCGGTTCCGAGCCGGCCCGCTCGGCCCGCGCGGCTCCGAGCGGCTCCGCGGGGCCCCGCGCGGGGCTCCCGGGGCCCGGGGCTGCGGCGGCGGCGGCGGCGGCGGCGGAGCTGAGGGCGGCGCGCTGCCCCGGCCGGCCGCCAGGGGGCGCCCGCGCCGCCGCCCGCCCCTTCCGCCGCCCGCGCCGCCCGCGCCGCCCGCGCCACCTCTGCGGCCCGGCCGCGCGCGGGGCCATGTGCGCACGCGGGCACGTGCTGTCCGGCCGCCCCACACCCGCGGGCCCGGCGCGAGCCCCCGCGGCGGAGCCCCGGATGCCTCCCCGGACGCCTCCCCCACCTGCAGCGTCCGCGAGGCGCCCGAGCCCCGCGGCCCAATGCCCGCACCCCTCGGGCCCCGCGTGGGGCGGCGCGCGCGGGACCCCACGCCCCGGCCTCGGGCACAGTGGGAAGCCAGACCCGACGAAGTACGGGGCTGGGTGCAAGGTCCCTGCAGGGTCCTACGCAGCCCCGTGTACCCCAGGGTGGGCTGCAGATCCCGGGGGAGGGGGGTGGGAGCGTCCCAGAAAGCGGGGCACCTCCTGTGTGCTTACAGCAGGCGCGTTTCCAGGGGCGCTGAGGATTCTGGCTGTGAAAGGGGTGTTTCGCGGGTCCCCTGGGGACCCATCCATCCCCAAGGCCAAGGGACGGCCCAGAAGGACCAGCCTGAGCCGGCCTCTAGTGCAGCCACTCTGCCCTGCGCACTGCCCACTGCCAGGTGGAGGGACCGACCCGCCACCACGCCCAGACCTGCTGGGAATCCGAGCATGGAGCCTCTCTGGCCCCTCTCTGCCCCCGGCCACAGGGTAAGGCAGGAGCCAAGGCTGGAAGCAGAAGGGCCAGCCCTGCAGCCCCGCCCCATGGGCGTCCTGATGTCCATCCGGAATGTTTCAATCATGAGTGCCTTTGGCCCTGAAGGGCTAAGTCAGAGCACTGCCCCATGTTCACCCAGGCACCGGCTCACCCACCTTCCCCATGCCCACCGCCTCACCCACCTTGGCGACCTCCAAGGCGACCTCCACCGTGTTGCATCTGTGCCCGCTGTAAGGATTCACTTGGGGGTGTCAGCGGGGTCCTGGGCTTTCAGGCACACAGCTGGGGCTGGGAGATGGGGCGTGCTCTCCCCACTGACAGCTGGCGGGTATGTGAGTGCAGGGCATAGGAGAGCACCGGGCTCATTCCGACCGCCACACTCTCTGCCCCTCACCAGTCCCATGGGGCCCAGAGCGCCCCCCCACCCCCCACGCCACTGAGAGCCCCTGACCTCCAAGGGGTCCCGGGAGTCTGCCCTGTCCCCTATGCTCGGGACAGTGCCTGCTGGGACCCCTGACAGCTCCCGACTTTCTGTCATGTGGGGTGGGAATGGAGAAGTCAGTGAGGGGATAGCCCTCGGGGCCAGTCCAGCCCCAGTCCCCACTGCCCAGCCCTCCCCCCGCCTGTCCCTCACTCTGCTCATCCCTCCGTACGGGAAAGTTCCCTGGACAGCAGATGTACACTTGCTTTTGCACTCTCCCCTGTGGACATGCACACACACACGCTCAACATGCACACTCACCTATGGACAAGCACACACACACACTGTGCACACTCACCTATGGACGTGCACACGTGCACACTTACCGTGCACACTCCCCCGTGGATATGCACACTGGCACCATGCACACTCCCTTGTAGACAAGCGCACGTGCACACTCACCGTGCACACACACCTGTGGACATGCACACTCACACTGTGCACACTCACCTATGGATATACACACCGTGCACGCTCGCCTGTGGACTGCACACTCACTGTTCACACTCACCTGTGTATATACACACTCACCATGCACACACACCATGGACACTCACTGTGCACATTCGCCCGTGGACACGCTCACACCATGCACACTCGCGTGTGGACACACACTCACCATGCACACTCGCCTGTGGACGTCCCTTCACAAGCGCACACCCTCCCCCAGGGGTCTGCCTGTCATCCCCTCTCGAGCCCTGCTTTAGCCAGTCCCCCGGGGAGGAGGGCCTCAGGGCTCCTCCTGTTTTCGGGGAAGCCGCCTCCACGCCCACCTGCACTGGGCCCCCAGGGAGCAGTGTCCTCCAGGACCGCAGTTCTGACCCCACCCCACCCACAGTCCCGTGTGACCTTGGGCAGTTGACCTTGGGCAAGCCTCTCCCTGGTTTTCAGCAGGAAGGGTTTCTCACAGGCTGGCAGTGGGGCAGCACACCTCCACCTTGGGTCCTGGGCAGGGACAGAGGAGGGAACCCTCACGTGGTAGGGGCCCAGCTTCCAGGAGGGACGCGCTCCCTGACCCATGGGTGCTGCTGAGTGGGCATGTGTGTGCATGTGTGGGGTCTGCACTCATGACGTGAACTGTGAACAACAACAGTGATGTGTGTTCATGGAGTCTGCATTCACATGTGTACATGCTTGTGTGCCTGGATCTGCATTCACAAACTTGTGCATGTGTGTTCGCAGGTATGTGGTCACATGTGCACATACAAGTCTGCATGCACATATGTGCGCACAGGAATGCACTTATGCAGAGGTGTGTGGCAGCTGTGTGTGTGCTTGCACACGAGTCTCCATTCACGTGTGTGTGCATGGGTCTGCATTCCCATGCGTGATTGTGCACACAGCTCTGTCCATGTGTGTGCACAGGTGTGTGCTTGCGTGTGTACACCTTTGGCAGGCCTGTGGACCTGTAGCTGCTGTCCACACACCCTCTAGGCCTGGGTGATAACACCCACGGGACCCTGGGAGAGCCGCCCAGGGTGGTGGTGGGCAGGGGCTGTCCTTCCCCTCTGCCCTAGTAGGGAAGTCCAGAGCTTGGGACCCCACCCCCCCGGCCTCGGCACAGGGGCCTTGAGCCCAGGGCAGCTCTGTTTGGCTCTACCCAGGCCCGTGTCCTCGTGTCAGGAGTGGGGAGGCCCCTCTTGGGGCCAGACTGGCAGGGCAGGGTGTGGATGCTCTGCCAGCTGCTGGAAGAGGAGCGGGTGTGCCCTGCGCCTGTAGGTCAGCCGTTGTGAGGTGGGTGACTGGGAAGTGGGCAGCTGGGCCAGGCACATGACACCGTGGCCGCCTCCTCGCGGCCTGTCCCCTGAGGGCCATCAGCAGCTGCCCCAGGCTTGACATGGGCCCCCTTGGGAGCTGCCCATGTCTGGAGAGGCCAGTGCCAACCTGGTCTCCAGGGCCCCCCGGGCAGTGTGGCTGGGCGTCCCAGGGTCCCTGCTGCTGTCTCCTGGGTGGCCCCTCCCCCACAGCCTCCCGGGACACTGCAGGCCCTGTTCAGAGCCGGGCAACAGAGCGCCTTTGTGGCCACGACGGAGGCCATTGGCGGCCAGGGTGGGTGGGGCGGGACGTGGCCTCCGTGCCTGTGGCGGGGAGGGGGGGTATCGGCCGACTGAGGTGAGGCTGCAGACCCTGAGGTCTACAGGCAGCTCGAGCTCACGCCCTCAGCGCCCAGCAGGAAACCAAGGCACCAGCACTTTCAAGTGGCATTGCCATCCGTCTGCATACAGTGGAACGGGCCACGTGCCTGCTGGCAGCAGCCCTTGAGCACCGCAGGAGAGGATGAGGGATCACACTGCCCCGTCACACTGCCCAGGACCCTCCTCCCCTCCATCAGGCAGCATCAAGGACCCTGCGCTGAACCTCAGCAGGACACCCTGGCCAGGCCACCTCCCGCACCAGTGGCCCCAGGGCAGCTGCAGTGCCACCCCATGCCAACCCCAACCTCTGGGCTACTGCGGGCGGCCAGGGCAGGGCCAAGTCCTCAAGAGGTTCGGCAGCTGGTGTTTGGTGAGGGCGGGCTCTCTGCAGCTTGGGGGCTACTGTCTTGGGGACCCCAGGGCCAGAGCAGAGGCCCATACCTGAGGGACTGTCACCCTGAGGCTGCCGTGATTCAGGGGGCGGAGCAACCCTGTGCGTGAGAGTTTGTCAGCCCCTCGAGGCCCCTCCCAGGGCTCTGCCCCTACACCCCCCCATCTGTGAGCCCCGCATGTGCTCGGCCTGGCATGTCGCACACCAACAGGCATGCACACAAAGCCCCCCTGTATGCGCACCATGATGCAGGATGGACAGAAGCATGTTTGCGTGAGGACACACTGTGTGTGGACAGTTGGTGTGGTCGTACACATACATGTGTGTGCACACGTGTACATGTGTAGGTGACAGTGGGCGCACAGGTAAGAACAGGTTTCTGCAGACCTGTTCACTCAGAAGTTTGCTGCGGCAGTTTGCACAAGGACACGCGCTCCCATGTGTGTGGATAGACGTGTGTGCGTGCCGGGGGACGGACACACACACACACACACACACACACACACGGAGACCAGCACACGCATGCTGGCCCCGGCATCCAGCCCCCCCACCTTACCTGTGGCTGTGGGCCCAGGTGGCTCCCGCCCTCAGGGCCCCCCTCTGATGAAAACTAGCTCACCCTGTTAGCCCGAGTGCCCATGGGCTGTGTTCGCTCCACCCCATGGCCCGGCTCAGCACCCACAACCAGGACAGAGGCCTCAAGGGGCAGCAGCTGACTGACTGTCCACACTGGGCCATCAAGTCTGGTGGGAGGCAGGCGGACCCCTGCAGAGCAGGGCCCTGGGTGCCCGAGGCCCAGCCTGGAGGGATGCCCAGGAGGCACAGGTGCAGAGCTGTCAGAGCAGTGGGGACTACAAGGTAGTCAGTTCCAATGGGGCACTGACCCCCAGCCCAGGGTGTGTGGCTGGCCTCGGACCTGCTTTCCCTTCGGGCCGTGCATGTTCAGTGCTGGCTCGGGGCCTGCAGCCCCTAGGTAGGTCCCAGCCCTGAACCCTCGGGAGCAGTGGGGATTCCGGGGAAGGCCCAGGGGCGTGGTGGGGATCGCACTGTGAAGGGCGGAAATGGTGGCAGGTGCCTCCAGCGCTGTCCTTCATAAGGCTGGGGATTTCCCGGAGCTCCATATGGCTCCTACTTCCCATGGGGAACCTGCACTTCCGCCTTGGACCCCAGCCCTGCCAGGAACCCCATAGGGAAACCCTGACCGCTGGGGCCACAGGCTCGCAGAAGTGGGACCCGCCCGCCGTGAACCCCGCCCACGGCCAGGCCACGCCTACAGTGAGCACCGCCCACTGGCAGGCCACGCCCACTGTGAGCCACGCCCCGGGTGAGCCACGCCCACTGCGAGCCTGCCCGGGCAAACCATGCCCACCATCAGCACCACCCCTGGGCAGGCCACGCCCACCGTGAACCCACCCAGGGCTGAGCCTTGTCCAGGGGTAAGCCCACAGAGCTTTAAAGTGGCCCCTGGGAGCCGGGCGGGGCTTCTGGCCTGGTTGAGGAGAGTGTGAGGGTGGGGAAGGGGGAGGCAGGGGTGTGGGGTGACCTCCACCCATTTCAGGGGTAACACGCAGAGGTGGAGCGGAGGAGCAAGGGGGGGTGGTGTGGAACGGCAGCCCTCCCCCCTCTGCTCTAGGAATGCCCGGATTCCTGGGCCAGGCTCTGTCCTGGAGGGCAGCCCTGGCTTCACAGGGAACCCCCAGGCGTGGCCGTGTCCCCACCCTCTTCCGTGGCCCTGGTCAGATCACTCAGACCCTCTGTCCCTCGGTGCGAGGGAGGGGAGCCAGGGGAGAACAGCATGGACCTGGACGGCAGCCCACCTGAGCTCCCTGCCTGGGGACAGTGTCCAAAGGGCGTTCCTCCTGATGAGGGGACGTGGTGGGGGAGGGCAGTGGACCCACCCCGTGACCCCCAGACTGCTGTGCCCAGCCCGGTTTGCTGGCCCATATTCAGATTCTAGCTGGAAGGTGGGGCTCTGGTGGGAAAGTTGGGGGAGACGGCAGGCGCCTGGGGGACCCTCGGACCCGACCACCAGCTCTATGTGGGGTGGGGGCTGCGTGGGGGGGTCGGTGCGGAAAGGGCGTGGCCGGTGCCCCCGCTTAGCGCCCTCCGTTGCTCCTTCTCTTCCAGCTGCTGCAGCATCTGTGCCTGAAAACTGCAGGCTCTGGCCAGCCAGCCGCTCCGCTGACACCCTGCGCCCTGCCCGGCCCCTGCCCGGCCCGTGTGCCGGTGTACCTGGCATGTCCAGGCCTGGCCCGCGCCTGCCTGCCCAGCCCGCGGAACCCCGGCGGCCCCGCGAGCTAGGATGAGGGGCCAGGCCGCAGCCCCCGGGCCCCTGTGTGTCCTGGCGGCGCTGCTGCTGATGCTGCTGCCGCCGCCGGCGCCAGGGCAGGGGGTGCGGGGGGGCGCGGGGGGCGCCGCGGGCCCCGGAGGCGAGCCCTGCGCCACACTGGTGCAGGGCAAATTCTTCGGCTACTTCTCTGCGGCCGCCGTGTTCCCGGCCAACGCCTCCCGCTGCTCGTGGACACTGCGCAACCCGGACCCGCGGCGCTACACGCTCTTCATGAAGGTGGCCAAGGGCCCGGGGCCCTGCGGGGGCGCCAGCCGCGTGCGCACCTTCCAGTTCGACTCCTTCCTGGAGTCCACGCGCACCTACCTGGGCGTGGAGAGCTTTGACGAGGTGCTGCAGCTGTGTGACCGCACCGCGCCCCTGGCCTTCCTGCAGGCCAGCAAGCAGTTCCTGCAGATGCAGCGCCAGCTGCAGCCGCCCGGCCCGCCCCACGACTTCTCCGTGGAGTACCTGGTCGTGGGTAACCGCAGCCCCAGCCGCGCCGCCTGCCAGATGCTCTGCCGCTGGTTGGACGCCTGCCTGGCCGGCAGCCACAGCACGCACCCCTGCGGCATCATGCAGACCCCCTGTGCCTGTCTAGGCGGGGACCCTGGAGACCCTGCCGCAGGCCCCCCGGCCCCACGCGGGGGCGACGTCTGCCTGAGGGACGGCCTGGCCGGAGGCCCTGAGAACTGCCTGACCAGCCTGACGCAGGACCGGGGTGGGGACAACACTCCAGGTGAGAAGACCTTGGGGGGCATCCCGGAGGGAGGGGGTCTCCTGCTCAGGGGCTGGGGACACGCCCCCCCCCGGGACCGAAGCTGCACATTCTACATGTGTGTGTGGGGGAGAGATGCTCATGGGGGGTCCCGGGACAGAGCCGGGCTCGTTGCCGGGGTTGGCAGGGGTGCAGCTGGGTGGGACGGGCCACTGTGTGGATGCTGCGGGAGCAGGAGTTTGGGGGTGACCCCAGTCTGCCCAGAAGCTGATGCGGGCGGGCCCAGGGAGGAGTGGGGGGCGGTGTTGCAGTGCAGGACAGACAGGGGCCACCGTTCGCCCAGAGCCGGGCTGGCCGCTCCCCCTGGCTTTATTAGGGTTCTGGGTGGGCTCCCCAGCTTGCTCGGCGGTCACTCCAGGCCAGACTGGCAGAACGGGTCAGTGCTCTGGCCTCATGGGCTGTGCTCCTGGCGCAGGCATGTGGTCGTCGGGGCCTGTGGCACGCCGCCCCCTCCCCATGGGCCATGACCTGTCCCGAGCACTCAGGTCCATGGTCCATCTGGGTCACTTTGTGCCCAGGACATGCCTGGCCCCCAGAGTCCAGTTTCAGGTGGGGCAACAGTGCCCGTTAGTGCGGCCTGGATCAGACCCTGCGTGAGCCGGGAGAGGGTGGGGCAGGGGGAGACGGACAAGGGAGGGACATACAGGGCGGTGAGCAGGGGGAGCCCAGGAGAGGCGGGGGACTGGGGAGCGTAGAAGAGGAAGGGAGGGAAGGAGGGGCAGCCCCTTGGGCCACCTGAGCGGGGGTGCAGGGTACAGGGTGCAGGGCTGGAGGCTGGGGCGGGGCTAGAGGGAGACGCCCTCAAGATTGTAGCCTGAGGGAATGGGGGTTCTAGATCTGGCCAGGGTGGGACAGAGGCGCTATGGCACACACCATCCTCAGGTCCTGGAGGGGTCTCAGCAGGAGGGGGTGTGGTGTGCATGGGACCTGGGCAGGGGAGGCCGGCCTGCCTCATCATACTCAGGGTCATGGGTGTCCCATGACAAAAGGACAATGTGAGTCCCTGGCCCCCCTCATCGCTCTGAGGAGGGAGGCCACTGGTGACTCTGAGAAGGGGCCTGTGGCAGGCTTAGGGGGGGAAGGGACCGTGCACACGTGTACCCGCAGCCAGATGCGTGTGTGCAACGTGCTGTGTGTAGCTATGTGTATACACAAATGCACACTGCACCTATGTCTGTGTTACCAGTGTGTGGACATGCCATGTGCCTGGCATGAACACGTGTTGTGTATTGTGTATGTGTGTTGTGTGCACTGGCGAGCAACACACGTGCAAGGTCTGTGCACTGGCATGTGTCATGTGTGCATGTCGTGTGCACTGGTATGTGCCATGTGTGAGTGGTCTGTGTACTGGCATGCATCCTGTGTGCGTGGCCTGTGTTGGCATGTGGCATGTGTGTGGCATGGCATGTGGCAAGTGTGCGTGGTGTGCGTAGTGCATGCACGGATGTGCGTCGTGTTTGCATGCACACACATATTCATGTGTGCATGCGCCCACATGCATGTATGTGCACACACGCGTATATGTGCGCACATGTACATATGTGAATATACATGCGTACACATGCATGCATACATACATACATGCTCACACACACATGCACCCAGTTCCGTGGGGTAGGGCCCACCCAGCACGTATGCCTTCAAGGATGGTCCAGGGGTGGGAGTTGTGTCAGGCCCAGAGACTCACGGAGCCTGTGAAGGTCACAGGCAGGGGCGCCAGAGGCCTGGTGTGGACAGGACCCGTGTCCTATGTGCTCTGCATGTGCATGTGTGTGTGTGCTTGTTGCAGGGACAGGGAAGCTGGACAGCAGGTGGGGGCCGGGTTGGGGTCTGGAGCTCTGGTGACCTTCACTGCTGGCCCAGGGGTGGGACAGGCTGCCCGCCAGCCTGAAGGCTGTGGCTGAGCGGAGCAAGCAGGTGGCCACGTCTGCCCTGCCCCCGCCTGCCCGTCCACATGCCACATGACGCCTCACTGTCCCCTGGCCTGTCAGAGCCTCCTCTGTCTGCGCCATGGGGCCTCGGCCACACTCCCCGGGGCCCTTTAAATATTCATGTTTTCATTAAGGACGTTTATCGCACGGAGACATGCAGATAATGAAAAAGAGGTGGCCTGGGGCTGGGCAGCTGGTGGCCCTGTGCAGCCCGTGCGTGCGCGTGCGTGTGTATGTGTGTGAGTGTGTGTCCCTGTGATTGTGTATGTGTGTCCCTGGGTGTCCTTGTGTGTGTGTTTTTCTGTGACCCTGTGTGTGTGTCTATGTGTGTCCCTGTATGTGTGTCTGTGTCCCTGGTATGTCTGTCTGTGTGTCTGTGTGTCTGTGTGTCCCTGTCTGTGTGTGTCCCTGGTGTGTGTCTGTCCCTATCTGTGTCCCTATGTGTGTGTTGGTGTGTATCTGTGTGTGTCCCTGGGTGTGTCTGTCTGTCCCTGGTGTGTGTCTGAGTGTGTCCCTGTATGTGTGTTGGTGTGTGTCTATGTGTCCCTAGTGTCTATCTGTGTGTCCCTGTGTGTCTGTATGTGTCCCTAGTGTGTCTCTGTGTGTGGCCCTGTATGTGTGTCTTTGTGTGTCTGTGTGTGCCCCTGTGTGTATCTGTGTGTGTCAGTGTGTCCCTGTCTGTGTATGTCCCTCGTGTGTGTCTGTCCCTATCTGTGTCCTGTGTGTGTTGGTGTGTGTCTGTGTGTGTCCCTGGTGTGTATCTGTATGTCCCTGTGTGTCCCTGTGTGTGTCTGTGTCTGTATGTGTCCCTAGTGTGTGTCTGTGTGTGGCCCTGTATGTGTGTCTTTGTGTGTCTGTGTATGTCCCTGGTGTGTCTTTGTGTGTCTGTGTGTGTCCCTGTGTGTGTGTCTGTGTGTGTATGTGTCCCTGTATGTGTCTGTGTGTGGTCCTGTGTGTGTGTGGGCGGCCCATGTCTCTGTGTTCCCATGTCCCTTGCCTGCCATGTACTGGGACCGAGGCTGAGTGGCATGTGGTGTGTAGGGCTGAGGCCCATGTGTGGCCGTCAGCGGGTTGGCCAGCACCGGCCCAGACCACAGGCGCTCCAGCCTCAGGGCCCGGCGACTCTGGTATAGGCCAGGAGGTCCCCCTGGGAGCAGGGGTTGGGCTGGATCACCTGGGCGGGGAGGTCGGGCCAGAAGGGTCTGGGTGGCAGCCTGGGGCTCAGCGGGCCGGAGGGGGAGGGCGAGTGGCAGGCTGCAGGGCCCGGTGGGGAGACCCCTGCTGGCGGCCGCGGGAACTGCAGGCCCCGGGAGCGCCCCGGCGTGGCCAGCGTGGCCATGCCCTTGAGGTGGCCGGCTGCTGCGCCCGTTAAGGGCCCCATTCATGCCGGGCTTGAGAGGAGGCGCACAGAGGGGCATTGACGGGAAGAATGGCGCCTCTCTCCCGCCGCCCAGAGCCACCGTGGGGTCTGGGCAGCACAGGCCGGGCCTTCCGGGGTCAAGGGGTCAAGGATCAGCTGGCTCTGGCACACATGATGTCAGCTGTAATCACCCTTGGCTGGTCCTGGGGGTATCGGGTCAGAGCCACAGCATCAGGTGAGAGTGGTGTGACAGGGTCAGAGTGTCACGGGGTCAGGCTGTGATGGGGTCAGACTGCCTGCCACCTGGTGACCATCAGCAGAGGGCCAGGCATCCTGGGGACAGGGTACCTGCAGACCCTGCTCCGGGCTTCCCTGTCCTGCTGCCTGGGCCTGTGTCTGCGCGCTCTGATGCTGGGCATTGCCCGGGGCCCCTCTCCTGCACCCTGCGGCCGTCTGCCGTGGCCTGCCTGGTGCCCAGGCCCTTCCACCGAGTCGGTCAGACCAAGGGTAGGGACGAGGTGCTTTCTGTACGTCCAGGGCCGCTGGCCCATGTGCGTGTCTCCTCTTAAAGGGCTGGCCCCAGCCGGCTGCCCACGGTGGGGCCCCCTTTCTGGAGGCTGTCCCCTGTGGCAGAGTCCGAGAGAGATCTGGGAAGGGTGAGGGGGCACGGCTGGAACAGCGGCAGGAGAGTGCCCGAACCAGCCCCCGACCTGCGGCCCCACCGTTTTGCTGTTTCTAGGGCTGCAGCGAGGGTGATGACAGGGGGTGGGCCTGCGCCGAGCCCCCTCCAGTGGGCAGCAGGGGGGGCTGCCCTCGGATGTGGACGGGAGAGACTTGAGGTGCAGGGGTGCCCCTCTGCGCCCGGTACCCTGCCCCACCCCTCATTTCTTGGCCCCTGGTGCCCCCTGCTGGCCAGATCCTGCAGGGACAGACAGACTGGGCCTGGCTTTCACTTCAGCTCACCAGGAGTGGCCCCCAGACCCAAGCACCACTTGGGGCTCTGCTGACAGAAAAGAAAGTTCTCTGGGATACATCTGACCCTGGTGCCATTACCTCCTGCCCACCCAACCGTCTGTCCGCCTGTCTGTCCTGCAGGGCAGCTCTGGGACTGTCCTGGCCAGCGAGGTGCCTGCCCTCTGGCATTGCTACACCTTACCTTCAGCCCACAGCCGAGTGAGGTCCAGGAGGCTCAAAGGCTCAGGACTGGGCCTGGATGGCAGGGGAGCCTCTCCACCCCCCCCCCGCCCCGCAGACCCAGTGACTTGGCACTGCTCCCTCTCAGGCGGCTGGCACTGGGGGAGGGGAATCTGCCCTGCTCCATGTCCCATCAGGGTCAGACTCAGGGTACTGTGGGAGAAGGGCTGGGGGTGATCCACAGGATGTGGGGGTCCAAGTCCAGGCCAGCAGGTGGCTCCCTCAGCACTGGGGGAGGGGCTGGTCACCCTAAGTGTCTGCATAGGGGGCAGCACCACTTGGGGCCCTGCTGACACGGGCCATGAGGCAGCTGAGGCCCCTGAATGAAGCCATGAGGAAGGGGCTAGGGGTTCCTCCGAGCACACACAGGGGGCAGAGCAGCCAGCCACCTCCCAGCCTGCTCTCTGGGGCTGCCCATCAGGGAAGCCATGATGACCCCCACATGGCACCGACCCTCGGGGCACTGACCTGCTGGCACTGAGCCTTAAGGTGCTAAAGCCCACGGCTCACCCCTGCAAAGCATCAACCCCAGGGACGCTGACCTGATGGCACTGACCCTTAGGGTACTGACCTGGCGGTTCCGACCCCCGTGCTGACCCCTCTCTGTGCCCGCAGGCGGCTGGAAGCTGTGGTCACTGTGGGGCGAATGCACGCGGGACTGCGGGGGAGGCCTCCAGACGCGCACGCGCACCTGCCTGCCCTCGCCAGGCCCTGACGGGGGCTGCGAGGGGGTGCTGGAAGAGGGGCGCCTGTGCAACCGCAAGGCCTGCGGCCGTGAGTCCTGGGCTGGGGATGTGGGGGCGCGCGGGGCTGCAGGATCCATCTCCGTAATAAGGCTCTAACGACTGCATGCATGTGTTAGCTGCGGTAGATCAGGTCCTAGGGAGGCTGGGGCCAGGCGGGGCGGCAGGGGTGCTGCCGGAGGGGGCGCGGGGCGCCGCAGGGCGTCTGACCCCAGCCCACCCCGCAGCCGCCGGCCGCGCCAACTCGCGGAGCCAGTCCCTGCGGTCCACGGACGCCCGGCGGCGGGACGAGCTGGGCGACGAGCTACAGCAGTTCGGGTTCCCGGCCCCGCAGACGGGTGAGCAGCGGGGGCCGGCGGGGAGGCGCGGGGGGAGGCCGAGGAGGGCCCCCGCTTAGGGAAGGGCCGCTCCTCGGGGCCCGGCCGTGACGTGGCGCGCCCGCAGGTGACCCCGCGGCCGAGGAGTGGTCCCCGTGGAGCGTGTGCTCCAGCACCTGCGGCGAGGGCTGGCAGACGCGCACGCGCTTCTGCGTGTCGTCCTCCTACAGCACGCAGTGCAGCGGGCCCCTGCGCGAGCAGCGCCTCTGCAACAACTCGGCCGTGTGTCCAGGTGCGCGGAGGGCGGGCGGGGCGGGGCAGCAGCAGGGGGCGGGGTAAGACCGAGGAGAGGGGTTTGAGGGCCGGGATAGGTGGGGCGGGGCATCAGGTGTGGGGATAAGAGGAGGCGGAGCATCAGAGGGGTGGGGATAGGCGGGGAAGGGCATCAGGGGTGGGGGCGGGGCACCAGAGGGAAAGGTATAGGCGGGGGCGGGGATAGGTGGGCGGGGCATCAGAGGAGTAGGATTAGAAAGGGGTGGGGCATCAGGTGTGGGGATAGGCGGGGCGGGGATAGGAGGGGGCGGAGCATCAGAGGGGTAGGGATAGGCGGGGCGGGGCACCAGAGGGGCGTGGAGGGGCGGGGCAACAGAGAGGCATGGGTGGGCGGGGCATCAGAGGGACGGGCTACATGGGGGCGGGACATCAGAGGGGCGTGGATGGGCGGGGGTAGGTGGGGCAGGGCATTTGAGGGGCGAGGAGGGCCTGGGGGCGGGGCATCAGAGGGGCGGGAATGGGCGGGGCGGGGCCGAGGCGTCTGAGTCCCTGGCCTGGCTACTGCTGCCCGGAGGGACTGGGCGGGACCAGGTGCGGACTGGCAGGGGCCAGGAGCACCGCCGCGCCTCTGTCCCCGCAGTGCACGGTGCCTGGGACGAGTGGTCGCCCTGGAGCCTGTGCTCCAGCACTTGTGGCCGCGGCTTCCGGGACCGCACGCGCACCTGCAGGCCCCCTCAGTTTGGAGGCAACCCCTGCGAGGGTCCCGAGAAGCAGACCAAGTTCTGCAACATTGCGCTCTGCCCTGGTAGGTGAGAGGGAGGGCTCGGAGGGAGGCCGGCTGGGGCGCTGGGCGGGGGGAGGCGGTCCAGGGCCCTGACCCCGGGCCTCTCCCTCCCTCGCGCGCCCTTGGGCAGGGGTGGTGGCCGGCTTGCGGGGAGGGGCCGGCGGTGTTCACGCGGCTCCCTGGCATTCCTCCCCCGGGCCGGGCAGTGGACGGAAACTGGAACGAGTGGTCCAGCTGGAGCGCCTGCTCGGCCAGCTGCTCCCAGGGCCGGCAGCAGCGCACGCGCGAGTGCAACGGGCCTTCGTACGGGGGCGCCGAGTGCCAGGGCCACTGGGTGGAGAGCCGAGACTGCTTCCTGCAGCAGTGCCCAGGTCAGGGCGGGGCCGGGGTGGGGAGAGGGGCGGGGCCCTAGCCTCACGCCCCTCAGCCCCACGCGTGCCCTCTCCTCTCCCGGTGCCCCGCAGTGGACGGGAAGTGGCAGGCCTGGGCGGCATGGGGAGGCTGCAGCGTGTCCTGCGGGGGCGGCACTCAGCGCAGGGAGCGTGCCTGCGCGGGGCCCTTCTTCGGGGGCGCAGCCTGCCAGGGCCCCCAGGACGAGTACCGGCAGTGCAGTGCCCAGCGGTGTCCAGGTGAGCGTCCCCGGGCGCAAGGCACTCCCGTTGCTGTGGGCTGTCGGGGTCCTACTCCCCTCACCGTCCGTCCTCTGTCTCTCGGCAGAGCCCCACGAGATCTGTGCAGAGGACCCGTTTGGCGCGGTGGTCTGGAAGGAGACCCCGGCTGGGGAGGTGGCAGCTGTCCGGTGCCCCCGCAACGCCACTGGTGAGGCCCAGCTGGTCGGTGCCCTCAAAGGGCTGTGGGTCCTTCTGGCAGTGTAGGCCAGGCCCCTGGACGCTCCTGAGGCCTGCCGAGGGCTTGAGCGCAGGGGGCAGCCTGGCATGTTCCTTGGGGTGCTGATGTTGGCACCCTGCCGCCTGCTGTGTGACCCACGCTCTTCGCGCCCGCTGCAGCACACACACACACACACACACACACACACACAGACACCCCGACTCAAGGCTGTGGGGGGACATGGTGGGAGGCACTCCCACAGGTCCACCCCCATTTTGGGTGCAAATCAGACATGTTGGGGTAGCAGGTAGCAAACCGGAGAAGCAAAGAGGAGGGGTACATCATGTGATGGGCCCTATGGGGTGGTTTTTCCCTGCCCCAGGCTCTGGGTACGACAGAGGGTCCCCCTATGTGAGACGAGGGTCCCGTGGTGCTGGCCCTGCACAGCGTGTGAGGCTGGACTTCCAGCGTCCTGGCACCCCTGGGAGCTGAGCCGTGTCTGGGCTCCCCAGCCAGACGCAGCTGTGGCACTGGGCAGGAGCTAGACCAGCACAGGTCGTGATCACGCTGCACAGGGCTGACCCCTGTGCTCTCGCCCCAGGCCTCATCCTGCGGCGCTGTGAGCTGGACGAGGAGGGTGTGGCCTACTGGGAACCGCCCACCTACATCCGCTGCGTATCCATTGACTACCGCAACATCCAGATGATGGTGAGTGGCCCCGCGCCCCTGCCCTGCCTCCGCCAGTGTCCTTCCTGCTCCTGCTCGCAGCCCTCCCCCCTCCCCCGCGCCCCCCAGCCTGGGCCTCCCCTCCCACGAAGCCCTGTTCCCTGTGTCCCTCTCACCTACACCCCTGCCCTGAGCCCCCTCCCCCACCCCCCATCTCCCGGGCTCTTAGTCTCCCCTGCTCTGCTGCAGACTCGGGAGCATCTGGCCAAGGCTCAGCGGGGCCTGCCCGGAGAGGGCGTGTCCGAGGTCATCCAGACGCTGGTGGAGATCTCCCAGGACGGCACCAGCTACAGCGGGGACCTGCTGTCCACCATTGATGTGCTACGGAACATGACGGAGATCTTCCGCAGAGCCTACTACAGCCCCACGCCTGGGGACGTGCAGGTGACCAGCCCACCCGCCACTCCCGTGCCATCACCAGGGACCCGTCATATGCTGACCCAGGCACCCCTGTTCCTCTCTGACCCCAGGCAACCCTGTTTCTGTCTGACCCGGGTGCTCCTCTCTCTTTCTCTCTCTCTCTCTGACCCCAAGTGCCCCCCTCTCTGACCCCAGATGCCCTCCCTCCTCTCTCTGACCCTGGGCCCTCCTCTCTGATCTTTTTCTCCTTTCAGAACTTTGTGCAGATCATCAGCAACCTGCTGGCTGAGGAGAACCGGGACAAGTGGGAGGAGGCGCAGCTGGTAGGGATGGCAGAGAGGGTGGCGGTTGCTGGTGTGGACGGGGTGGGATCTGCTGGTGTGGACGGGGGCCCAGCTGGTGTGGACGGGGTGGGGTCTGCTGGTGTAGACAGGGTGGGGTCTGCTGGTGTGGATGGGGACCCAGCTGGTGTGGGGTTTGCTGATACCACTGGGTCCCGGGAGGTGCTGGTATGGATGGACGATGGGAGTCTGTGGAGTGCAGGGTGGGTCCAGGTCGGCCTCACCTCTGCCCTTTTTCACGGCTGCCCCTCAGATTGGGGTCCCCATCAGGGGACAGGACCCTGGGAGACTCCACGAGGGGTGCAGCTAGTTGCCACGAGGGTGGTGTGTGAGGCCCCCATGATCCGCAGGGCATGTTGGCGTCTGGCCAGCCCTGCCATGGGACCCTCAGCCCAGACACTGGCCCTTGCCCTCCTGCAGACCCTTGGGCAGCCCTGCTCGGGGAAGACGGAGCTGGGGGGCGGGTCAGCCAGCAGGACCCTGGAAAGGCTAAGACAGGGTGGAACAAGGAGTCCCAACGGGCCGAACCCCCCCCATTTCTGCTCTGGGGAGGTGACTTCTGGGCTCTGCCCCCCTCTGAGACCCACCACACCTGCCCCCAGATGGGCCCAAATGCCAAGGAACTGTTCCGCCTGGTGGAGGATTTCGTGGACGTTATTGGCTTCCGCATGAAAGACCTGCGGGACGCGTACCAGGTGACAGACAACCTGGGTAAGGCCCCACTGCCCTGCAGCCCTGCCCGCCCCGCCCCAGCGAGCCCACCCGGCCAACGGGAGATGCCGCGCGGCCACTCGTGCCGGTCATCAGGAGGCAGTGAGGGAACGCCACTGCTGTCCCTGCACGAATAACCACCCCCCCCCCAACCCCCAGGGCCACAGTCCTCAAACCCTCAGTCTCGGGCATTTCCCAGAATGCTCTTGGCCAGCGTTTGTCCTCACAGTGGGGACCTGGGTGGGCCAAACAGTGCCTCCCTGTGGAGACACGTGACCTCTGTCATGGCTCGCTCAGGCCTCCCTTCTCCCCATGGCCCCTGCATGCTTCCCTCCTGCCTGGCCGCCTCCCTGTCTGCGTCCAGGCTCTGAGCCAACCCCACCTGCCCCTTCACCGGGGCACCTCCTCGGTCACACATGCACTCGCACCCCTGGACACCCACCCGGGCCTTGTCCTCCTGCACCTGTGTCCCTGTCCCCCACTGCCAACCAGCTGGCCTCTCGTCCCCGCACCCTGCCTTTGCTCCTGGCCCCCAGCTTGTTGGCCAGTATTCTGCACGCCTCCCCAGGACACTCACCTGCACTAGGAGTCAGGGGGTTCAGGAGTCAGGGGTCTTTGGGAATGGTTAGGCAGTCCACGATTCCCACCAGCTATCTCCCCCCCGCCATCGCTCGGTCCTTGGGGTGCCCTCCCCTGAGCTGCTCCAGTCCTCTTCCCTCAGTGCTGCACCCCTGCCTGCATATCTTCATGTCCACAGCCAAGGGTCCACCAGTGGGTGGGGAGTGGTGGGAGGCAGGGAAAACCCCCCTGTGTGTGACTCTGGCTGTCCCTCGGTCCAGTTCTCAGCATCCACAAACTCCCGGCCAGCGGGGCCACAGACATCAGCTTCCCCATGAAGGGTTGGCGGGCCACGGGCGACTGGGCCAAGGTGCCAGAGGACAGAGTCACCGTGTCCAAGAGTGTCTTCTCCACGGGGCTGCCAGGTGAGGTCGTGCTGGGGAGGGGCTCTGCAGGGGACCCAGAGAGAGCGCAGGGGCAGGCAAGTAGGGCGCCAACCTGCTTCCGGGCACACTCCCGAGCAGGAGGGCTGCTCTGTGCTGTCTTGCAGAAGCCGACACCTCATCCGTGTTTGTGGTTGGCACTGTGCTCTACAGGAATCTGGGCAGCTTCCTGGCACTGCAGAGGTGGGGACCCCGTGTGGCCTAGGCCGGGCGTTGGGAACAGGGTGAGGAGGTACTGGGAGGGGCCACCCCTGACCCCACTGCCTCCCACAGGAACACGACGGTGCTGAACTCCAAGGTCATCTCGGTGACTGTGAAGCCCCCGCCGCGCTCCCTGCTCACGCCGCTGGAGATCGAGTTCGCCCACATGTACAATGTGAGTGTGCCCGGCAGACTCGGTTCCCCCCGCTCTGGGGCCACCAGCCTGGGAGCACTGCTGGCAGCACCTTCGCAGGAGCCTCAGGGAACCCCGGGTGGGGAGAGGCAGCCGCCCCGCTCTCTCGCACCGTGTGGCTGGGACCCACCTAGTCAGCCTCTCTGCCCCGCGCCCGCTCTCATCAAGTGGGCACAAGGGCCAGTGATGGTCACTTATGCTTAGAGCACGGGCCCAGATGGCCGGCAACCCTGCACGTCACTGCCACCCATATGGCCAGTACACATGCACAGACACACACACACACACACACGCACACACACCACATACTCAGCCAGATACACAATACTTACACAAAATCACACACAACCAGCACACACGCTACATACAGATGCACACACCACACACTACATGTACACCTACTCTCTGTGCACACATATCCCCACAACCACACAAACCACAGAGCCATCACACACATACATACAACCAGCACAGACACGCTTTCAGTCTCTCACATATGCATTCTTTCACCCACACATGCTCTCTCCTCTCATACGTTCTCACACACATTCACATGCTCTCAAACCCGGTCTCACATTCACACAACTCACACACTTACACTCTCACACTGTCACACATCTACACTCTCATACTCATGCACTCTCTCATACTCACACAGCCCCTCACAACATTCTCACACACACACACACATACTCACAACTCACTGTCACACCGCCACACTCACTTTCACATTTTCACACTCACACACTCATACATCCTTTCAACACTCATGCACATACTAACATCACGTGTACTCACTATCTCATACACATACTGACACACTCTCACTCTCACACACACTCACAAATGCTCTCACACACACTCCCTCACACGTACTCCCATTCTCACACACTTTCCAAACATTCACACTTTGTCCGACAGATTTCTCACACACACACTCACACTGTCACATGCTCTCACAACAGTCACAGTCTGACACGCTCACACACACTCTCACACTCACATATACTCTACTTGCAAGTCTTTCACACTTACGCTCACACACTCATACTCTCACACACACATACACTCTACATGCAACTCTCACACTCTTACACTCACACTCACACACTCTACACACAACTCTCACACTCTGACACACACACTCACATTCTCTTACACACACTCACACATGTACTCTATATGCCACTCCAACTCACACACACGCTTACACACTACACACAACTCTCACACTGATACACACTCACACATACTCAGAGTCTTGACCCCAACCTGAGCCTTACTGTGCCCCCTGCTGCTGACTCCATGCCCCAGAAGTGGTCTCCCACCACTCTTACCACACAGGTATGCACAGGGGCAGGCAGAACCCAGCAGCACACTTGGGGTGGGCCGGGTGGTTCCAAATGGGGTCTTTGGGGGCTGCCCCAGCGCTGACACCTCCCTACCCGCAGGGTACCACCAACCAGACGTGCATCCTCTGGGACGAGGCGGACGTGTGAGTTCTCTGCACCCCGGGCCTGGGCTGTGAGGTGGGGCGGGTGGGGGGCTTTGGTTGGCGTGTGCAGGTGACCCGTGCCATCCCCCCCGCCCCGCCGGCTGTGCCAACACGGCTCCACAGGTTCCTCCTGGGCAGGTCCCTGACTAATAATTGTGCTGGGAGGGCAGGACTGCTGGAGTTCTGTGACCAGTCGATGTGGCGGGAGAGCGGGGACTCCTGCTGTGGGCAGTGCTGTGGCCAATCGGCATGCTGGGGGAGCGGGACACCTGCTCTGGGCCCTGCTGTGGCCAATAGGCTTGCTGAGAGGATGGGGACTTCGAGCAGGCTGACCTTGGGGGTGCATTTGTCAGGAGAAGGGGAGAAATGAGGTTTCAGCGAAAACCTGGGAAGGGGACAGATGGAGGGCAGGGTCTGCCAGGTTCATGGTTGGTGGAAACGGACAGAAGCCGGAATGGAGGGAGGCCTGTGCAGACACATTGGGATGGCAGGAACAGCCTGGCAAGACCCTGGCAGGGCTGTGCGCCCCGCCCCCCCGCCCGAGCTTTCCCGGACTGCTCAGGGTTGGGGCTGGCCTCGGGGAGAGGGGCCAGCTCTCCGGCCTCAGTTGCTGTCGGCTACTTGCTTCGGGTGAGGGAAGGGGGACGTGCCTGAGGAGACAGCCCGTCCCGCAGCTGCCGACAGGCACGACTGGGCTATGCGGAGTTGCCACTGGGCGGGACTCCACATTGTCGGTGGGGTGGGCTGGGGTGGGCAGCCCTCTATACCCTGCCTCCCTGACAGAGCCCCCCCCCCACCTGCCGGTTTCTCAGACACCCAAGGGCACAGGGTGATGGCTGGGCCTGTGTCCACCAGTGTGGCAGCAGTCTCTGCTGCCTGGGGGACAGACACGGCTGTCCTTCCACTAAGCCTCATCACACACTCACCTGACCCTGGCCACACACAGCACTCACCTCATCACACGCTGACCTGAGCTTGTCACGGTATGACCCAGTCAGGACCTGACCCGGTGACAATCGGCCCCGTCATACCCTAACCCTTCTTATACCCTGACCCTGTTACACACTGACCCTGTCACATTCTCACCCATCACACCTTGACCGTATCACACCCTGATCCTGTCTGTCACACCCCAGCTCCATCACACCCTTGCCCTGTCTCCCCTTACCCCTCGCACACTTAACCCTGATCCTGTCAAACTCTCATCCTGGTCCTTACCTGGTCTTGGTCACACACAGAGCCTGACCCCCACCCTAGCCACACTCTAAACCCTGCCCCTATGTTTCATCTGGGAGGACTTGCAGGACATGCTTGCAGGACTCCCTCCCTTGTCACTGTGACAGTCAGAGCCCCCCTGACCCCCCCCCCTACTCTGGGGCCACACACAAAAAATTCCGTGTGCACACTCAAGGTGTTGTTCATGCCCCCAAGCCCCTGTGATTCAGGAGCCTGGGCTGTTGACAGGTCCCTGAGCTCAGCTCACATACCCTTGACCGTGGCATGCCACAGAGCCCCTCCCATGGTGCCATGCTAGGCCACCAGTGATGGGGGGGTATCCTCTGATGGAGGAGGGAGAGGCTTGCAGAGGGTTCTTCAGAGTTCTCATGTTTAAGAGGATAGATGGATGGGCTGTGGTAGGTGAATTCGTGGGTGGGCAGGTGAATGAGCAGGTTGGTCAATGTTGGATGAGTGGATGGATGTTAGGTGAATGGGTGAGTGAGTGAATGTTGGGTGGGTGGGTAGATAGGTAGGTGGATACATGGGCAGGTGGATAGATGGGAGGTGGGTGGGTGAGCAGGTGCATGTTGGATGGGTGGATGGGCATGTGAGTGGCTAGATGGGTGGGTGGGTGAATGTTGGGTGGGTGGATGTTGGGTGAATGAGTTGATGGGGAGTGGCTGGATGGGTTGGTGAGGAGATGAACAAAGACGGTGGTTCAGGGATCATGGGTCGATGGAGGTGTGAGAGAACACTGGTACCTAAGAGTAGACTGTGTAGCTCCTTAATTACATGGATCTCAGCCTGGGGGTCTGCGGAGGGGCTGCAACAAGCCCTCTGGACTGTGACATTATGCCTGTGCCTTGGAACAGAGGGTCATAAGGGATGTAAGATCAGCTGTGCATGTTCCTGGCTGGCTGGAGTCTGAACGGTCCTGGGGACTGGTTAAATGGCTGGGCATGGGGAAGATGATTTTCTCTTCCAATGGCATACGTGTGAATTGCTGAATCACAGACGGGTCATGGGTGGACAGCCGGGCTCAGAAAATGGCCCGTTACTGTGGATGAATGGATGGATAAGTGGGTGGTTTGTGGAGGGGTGAGTAAATGGGCAGATAGGGAAGATGAATAAGTGAACGGCCAAGTAGGAGGAGAGGATGTGAGACTGGCTGGAAGGATTTATCGGGTTAGTCAGTTTCCTGACCCAGATACCACAACGGGGTGTCTTAAAGCACAAAAACCTGCCCTCTCGCACTCCTGCAGCTTCCAAATCTGAATCAGGGACTTAGTATGATCCACCTCGTTGGAAGTCCCATGAGAAGATCCCTTCCCACTCCGTCCGGCCTCTGCTTTGGCCATCCTCGGCATCCATGGTTTAGAGCAGTGTCAGCCCAGCTCCTGCCTGGCCTCACAGGGCCTTCTTCCCTGCCTGTGCCTGTGTCTTTATCAGGATCCTGGTTAGTCAACCCCAGCACACTGGAGTATGATTCCCCCAAGCAGCCGGACTTAACTCCCTATGGGAGAGGGAGTGGGAAGGAGAGAAGCCTCTCCCCTGGCCCTCTGCACACCTGCGGGCTCCCGCCGCCACCAAGAAAGAAGCACGCGGAGGGGGGAAAGCTGTGGTCAATCAGCAATCCGTTATATTGACTCTCACACGGGTTTTTATGCACACAATCGGGGGTGGGGGGGCAGTCCACATGGGTATCACGTTTATCTTGTCAAGCTCAGTACAGATGTTAGTTAATGATTTGTATTCCCCGCTCTCAGGGCTGGGTTAATCAGCTCAGGCAAAAGTTAACTGTCATGGGGCTGGAGAGATAGCATAGCGGGTAGGGCGTTTGCCTTGCACGCGGCCGACCTGGGCTCGATTCCCAGCATCCCATATGGTCCCCTGAGCACCGCCAGGAGTAACTCCTGAGTGCAGAGCCAGGAGTAACCCCTGTGCATCACTGGGTGTGACCCCAAAAAGCAAAAAAAATTTAAAAAAATAAAAATATACTTAAAAAAAAGTTAACTCTCACGCTCCTCATCCCATTGTCTCCTCAACCAGAGTGCCTACGTGTGTGGAATGCGGGGGCAAGCCCCTGGGCGCCTGTAAACAGGGCCGGCTCTTGCTTTCAGGGGCAGGGGCTTTGGTCAAAGTCTCAGACTGGCTACTGAGACCCCAACATCCTTCTCTTCTCCCTGTCAACACACTAGTCAGTGGATCTAGGCCTATCCTGAACCTATATGACAGCATCTCCAAATTCACAGTCACACCTACAAAGAGCCCAAGTCAGGCCATGTTTATAGAGCCTGGAGGTAGGATTTTGACGTACACATTTGGAGACAGTATTCCATTTCTGCATAATGTCTTCCTCTGAACCCCCCCTAAGCTCATTGAATATTGACAGAGAGTGAGGTAAGAGATGGACGGATGGGAGGATGGACTGATGGATGGATGGTGGATGGACAAATTATTACTTGAGGAGTGATAGATGGATGATGGATATATGGTGGTTAGCTGTGTGGATAATTGGATGGGTCAGTGGTGGGTGGATGGATGGGTAGGTGTATTATAGGTCGTTACATTATATTTGGAGAAAAGGATGAATGAATGTGTGCATACATGCATCAGTGAATGGATGAATGAATGGGTGTTGGCTAAAGATTGATGAGTTAGATGAATGCATGCATGTGTGAATGGGTGGGTGAGTGGATGTATAATGAGGGTGAATGATGTATAGATATGTGGATGGTAGATGGATATATGAATTAATGGATCGAATGAATGGTGGGTCAGTGGATAGATACATGCATGGATGGATGGGTGGATGAGTAGAGGAATAACTGATGATATGTGAAAGATGAATGCATGCACGCACACATACAGATGGCTTGGTGGATGATAAATGAATGGTTGGCTGGTCAGTGAATGAATGGATGGATGGGTGGGTGGATGGGTGGGCAGATGAATGGATGAGTGGGTGAATGGATGGATGGGTGGATGGACGAATTGGTATGTGAATGGATGGTTGGATGGGTGAGTGAATGGATGGATTGGGTGGATGGATGAATAGGTATGTGGATGGATGGTGGATGGGTGAGTGAATGGATGGATTGGGTGGATGGCTGAATAGGTATGTGGATGGATGGATGGATGGATGGATGGATGGATGGATGGATGGATGGATTGTTATGTGGATGGATGGATGGGTGGGTGGATGGGTGGGCAGATGGATGGATGAGTGGGTGAATGGATAGATGGGTGATGGATGAATTGGTATGTGAATGGATGGTTGGATGGGTGAGTGAATGGATGGACTGGGTGGATGGTTGAATAGGTATGTGGATGGATGGATGGATGGATGGATGGATGGATGGATGGATGGATGGATGGATAGGTGGATGGATGAATTGGTATGTGGATGGATGGATAGGTGGGTGGATGGGTGGGCAGATGGACAGTGTGAATTGGTATGTGAATGGATGGTTGGATGGGTGAGTGAATGGATGGATTGGGTGGATGGCTGAATAGGTAGGTGGATGGATGGATGGATGGATGGATGGATGGATGGATGGATGGATAGGTGGATGGATGAATTGGTATGTGGATGGATGGATGGATGGATGGATGGATGGATGGATGGGTGGGTGGATGGATGAATTGGTATGTGGATGGATGGATGGATGGGTGGGTGGATGGGTGGGCAGATGGATGGATGAGTGGGTGAATGGATAGATGGGTGATGGACGAATTGGTATGTGAATGGATGGTTGGATAGGTGAGTGAATGGATGGATT